TAATCAACACATGGAGCCAAATAGATTTAATAAGGAAACCCATGTTTGTTTTTCCTGAAGTCCTAAAGAGTGCAGTAGATTTCTAAATGACAGCACTGTGTGGGGTGAGATGTTGGATTTTGTAATCTTGTTTGGTGACAACTCCTCCTTCTCTCTTTAGCTACCACTTTCTTCTTAGCACATAATCCTTTATTGGAGACTCATATCCTTCTCTGGGAATCAAAGTTGAGTCCTTTAATGTGATAATCAAAGCAAGAGAGCCTCATAATTACATCACAGATTAAATGTACATTTTTCTGCTTGTTGTTGCTTGAACCTAACCTATGGGTTACCTTCTCAAAGTGTCTTGGTGGACTTCACCATGCTTTTAAGAAAATTTCAGTATGCTTTCAGATATAAAAAATGTTTTATTTTTATGATGACATGTTTTATTTTTGTGATGACAAAACCATTCAATATTCTTATATTCTTTAGACTCGCTTTTCTAATTCAATTTTTTTCTGAAATTAAAAGTTTTTTTTGTTGTTGTTGAAATGCAACCACTCTATGCAGTTCTTTTGTTTTGGGTATAGTTGTTAGCTTAGTAAACACACTTAAAATAATTCTACAACCACATACCTTCAGTTAACCCAAAACTCTGACAAAAGATGGCTTGTCCAGATAAACTGTGGGCTGTGTGCCTTTTGGGGGGTGCATTCTCATTGAGATGGACCCGGTGTGATATCTGCTAACTGTGTTTAAAAACAACACCTTGTAGCATAAGACCTGCTTACTGGCTTCCAGTAATTTTGTTTTTAATTTTCCTTTCAGGCTTACTGCATGGTTAGGGTAATACCATCTCAAGTTATTTTCACTTGTACAGCAATTATGCATTTGAGATCACTTTGATTTCTACTGTTTAATTTTTTCTTGCAGTGCTAGGGATTGAGTTCAGGGTCTCACACACAGTTGGCAAGTGCTCTACCAATGAGTCGTACCTTTAGTCCCATACTGAATAATTTGACTTTCATGAAAAACCCATTGAGGTTTCATTTGACAGGTGAATGTATCACCACCTAGAAATCAAGGGGGTTTGTTCCAGTTCATGTGCTTAGACAGGCCATGTCTTGAGGCCAGATTTCCAGTTCTCACTTTTTCACTGTCACATTCATTAAATCCTTCCGATAAGCCTTCAAAAGCAACACTTTTAGCACATATATATATACTTAAATCCTGAGAAAAACAGTTGGGAAAAGTCTTGATGTGCCAGGTGAATAGGAAGGAGATAGGTTAAAATTGTACTATTTGTACAACTTCCAATGAGACATAGGGTATACATATATACATTAAAGTGAAATATTTTTACACTTGCTCTTAGCCAAGAAGGGTGAGAAGAAATTCTTTTTTTTTTTTTTTTTTT